TTTCTTTTTTTCTTCTATGGACGGTCTTCTGTTTGTGGATTCCAGCGAGTGGGTTAGAACAAAGTGAGATCAGTGCAATTCAGGAGTCGGAACTGACAAGTTCATATGAGAGTCTTTACAAGAAGCAGAGACGGAGACTAGAAATTGAGGAACTAAAGAGAGAAATGGAGCGGCACGATAAGATGGAGCGTGAAAGAGAGGAAGCACTCTCAAGTTCTTTTGGTTTCACTCAGACACTCTACAATGAAGAAGCAAGGCGCAGGAGAGAAGCGGAGGAGGAACTAAACAGAGCGAGAGCAGAAATCGAAGACATGAAAAAGGTCCAGAAAGAAGAGCTTTATATTGAGTACCCCCGTTTGGTAGAAATGTTTGAGAAACAGCAATGCAAATGAAGAACTTTTGAGACGTCTAAGCCTGGAGGAAGGTGAGTCATCATCACATTCTCCGTCGTCCCCATTGCAGTGGTTTGTTTCCGACGAGCCTCCTCCATATTTCATCTGTCCCATTTCAAAGGTCAGGATTCATACCTTCAAATCTTGAGTAGCCTTTTACACTAACCTCCCATTTTGATATTGCTGGTATGTTGTCTAATGTTATACATTGCCATTGCTCCTGAATGTAGGAGGTTATGCGGAATCCCCATGTTGCAGCCGATGGTTACACCTATGAAGAAGAGGAGTTCAAAACGCCCATGACAAACCTTAGGCTCGAGAATCACAATCTCACCCCGAATCTCATTCTTCGTACAGCCATTAACGACTGGTTGCAACAGAACCCATAATTCCTTTTGATTAGCCTTAGGATAATATGATGTTGATTGTGTTGTGATTCAGTGAATTTATATGGGAAAAGAAATGTGAAAAATTCCTCTATTCACTTTGCAAACCTTGGAGTGCCGTTTTTTTCTTTCTCTGTCCCTGTATTTTTATTCATTGACTTGTGTTTAAATTCCTATCCGTTGACTTTACTGTGTCCTGAAACGGTCAACAAGAAGAACATTGAGGGTCACCACTAACCACTGTTATCTGTTTAGATTCTTCTTTGTTTCTCTGTTTTCACTTGTCAGGGGGAAATAAGACGAAACACAAAGACGACATCAATGGCGGAACTCATGGCCATGGGGAATGATGTTTTGTTCATGTTGCAGTGAAGAATGATGTCAGAGAGAGCAGATCGACTCTTCTTTGGGCTTAAGGAACCTTGGAGCCAAGAAAGTCTGCATCCTTTATGTTTATCAGCCAAAAACTGCATCTCCTGCTGGTAAGCTTTGGCTAAAGACCGAGATTTTTATGATGTCCCAAAGAGCTATGCTACTAAACATATTTTGTGTGTGTTTAGGCTCGAATAATGATTCAGATTATTGTGTATCGCATTTGATACATTGCATCCGATCATCAATATTGGAAAAGTCTAATTAAAAATTAAATCTCACCAAGACGTTCGTTCACTTGTGTTAATTTGCCGAAAATTTGCAGGAAGATGTTTGAGCTCAAATCTAGAAAGGCAAAGTACGTGTACCAACATGCGCCTAGCTCCTGCGAGGTTATGTTTGTCTGTGATGGATATCTCATTTACAGATTCTCATCTGTTCAGTTTCATGGCTCTTTTTAACAGGCTAGAGGGTTTGAGACAATGTATTACGAGGAGCAGAGACGGAGACTAGAAATTGAGGAACTAAAGAGAGAAAAGGAGCGGCACGATAAGATGGAGCGTGAAAGAGAGGAAGCACTCTCAAGTTCTTTTGGTGTCATTCAGACACTCTACAATGAAGAAGAGAAGCGGAGGAGGAACTAAACAGAGCGAGAGCAGAAATCAAAGATATGAAAAAGGTCCAGAAAGAACAGCTTTATATTGGGAGTCACCTCTTGCCGTCAGTGGCGGAGAAGACTCGTAGACAAGGACGAAAGTTCCGATGATCTCCGCTCCCAAAAGTTTGGTACGGATTTGGCTGGAAGCCTTTGACAACTCCGACGCCGCAGATTGCTCCAAGACATTGCATCAGGATGTAGAAGACTTCCGAGCTAAGAAGAACAGACCGAAAGTCACCGCTGGGTTTATGTGTCCCCCTGAAACACACAAACATAGAGACACATCGAATCCGCTTATCGTCTTTGTGCTCCTAAATATCCCAAATTCAGATTTCTTCAAGAAAGTTTGAAATTTTTGAGCTTTGAGAAAGTGTGAGAAAATTCTTACAAAGAATTACGATGTAGAAGACAGCTCTCGGGGAATAAGCACTGTAATAACCCCAAAAACACACCTAATTAAAAGAAGTTTCATGGGTTTTATTTACTCTATGATTACTATAAACTAGATGATTAATCCGCACCGGGTATAA